GAAAGAGGAATGTGGTGGAAACACCTTTGGCTAGGTCTGTCCTCAAACTGGAGAATTCCTGCACCTAAGTTTTGGTTCAGCTGCTATCTGGTCAGAGGTGCCTTGAGAGTCTGGCTTGTGGTCTCCACACCATTTATCTCACAGGTTTAAACTGCTACTTAAGATGAGATGAGAAATAATAATAATTTAAAAAGCTAAAGAATGTGTGAGGAGTCAGGAGGATGCAGTTTCCTGGAAGGTGGTAAATGTGGCTTGATTGGATAAAAATAGCAGTGTAAAGCTTCTGGACCAGTTGTCCTAGGAACTCATTCAACTCCTTCCTAGAAAGGCTTTTTAAATTGACGAGTGAAGAAGATGGAGGGGCTTTGTGTAAAAGCTGAGCCATGACAAAAGGCAGAACTGCATCAGGATATGAGGCTAATTAGTAATAGTGGAAGCAAATATTACATTACATTGGCCCTAGTGACAGGTACCAGTTTTGTGGAGCAGGAAGTGAGTTTTCTATCAACAGAAGTGCCGTACACTTCAAGAAAAAGGAAGCAGGTAAGTGAACTGAGTGATCCAGAGGGTATCTCTACTGGTGGCAAAAGATGAGCGTTCTGTAGCAGCAGCTCTGTAGATCAGCTGTGGCCAAGTGTTAAGCAGTCAAAAGGCTCAGAATGATGCTTGGGTTTTCTGGAAAAGGCTTTCTCTGAAAATGTGACCTCTAAAACAGTGGGAAGCTAAAAGAAGCACATCCAGATGTGTGAGGACAATGGGCCACTCAAGACAACTTTAAAATAGAAGTCCATTTAAGATAACTTCATTATGCTTTGGGATATAGAAACAGTGCATCAGCAATGATGTTTTTCTTAAGTAGCCTTTTTCATGCTTTTAATCTTTAGGTGATAGCACACGTTTGTTCTTTTACTTTCTAGATGTCCAGCAGGTGACAACTGGTGGTACATGGGAGAAAAGTGTGAAAGGAAAGGGTCAACTCAAGAAAATACTATAATAGCTGTTTCTTCAACCATATCTGTATTTGTTGTAATGCTTATTGTCACTATCACAACTGCAGTGTGCCTTAAAAAGAAATACAGCCATGGAAAGGAAAATAGGGAGAGCTTTCCCCTAGAAGAAGTAGTACATACGCCTCTTTCAACAAATATATATATACACACACACACACACACACACACATAAATGTTTACTAAAAATAAACAATCAAATTCAGTAAGAAGTAAATTGGAAGGTGTCACATTTTTGAAGTCTGAAGATTTCAGCTTAGGAATTAAAGATCTCCGTTAAGTGCTACTAATTTATAAACACCAAAAAGCCACTTAATTCAAAACCTGTTCTTCACCACCACCACTGATGGCAGCCTACGTTGAGTGGGAGAATGTGAACAAAGGGGCTCATTTTCAGTTTGTAACTAAACTGTGTTTTCTGTTTAGTGGGCTTGTATTTCATCTATTACTGCATTTTCTATTAAAGAGCTCCCCTTAAAACATCTGGATATGGTGCTAAAAAACCCAACTCAAAATGCCAAAACAAAAAGCAGATATAAAAATCAGTTTCCCTATTCAGTTGCTGGTTTTTATGCAAGGAACAAAGTGGCTATGGAAATCATGACTTAAGGAGAATTAAAAGAAGACAGCAGGTTAAGATTATCTGAATGACTGGATCAGAAAGGCCATGTAAAGAATAGCAGAGATTTTTTGGCAAGTTTTGATAGGAAGTTTCAAAAAGTTCCAGGCATCCAGACTCAGTTTAAACAGAGGCTTAGGCTTGGAAATAGCAAGAATGACATAGCTGAGAGGGACTCACAAGGCACAGGAGAAATTTTGTAAGCATACTGAAGAGGAGTGGCCTTCCAGAGAGCAGACTTCCATTTTTAATTTCCTCCTAATATTCTTTATTGTCCTGTTGAGGTACAGTATGTCTGTGCAATGCCAGATACTAGACACTATTACTTTATGACCTTCCAGTAAATTATTTTGGTTTCTTTATAAGTAATGCTCTTATATTATACACATATTTCCCTTCCCTCCATGCTTTTGAGATATGTGTGTGTTTGTTTTTTCTGTTTAGAGTAAAACATCCTTCTGAAGATAATGCAAACAAAAAACAAAGACAGAAGATTAACATTGGTGGAAAACCATAAGTACATCATCATTCTTTATTTTATCTCAACCATCATGATAAAGGTTTGTAAAGTCTGGAAAATTATTAATCATCTGGATAAAATACTGTGCTAAAGTCAGTAAAGTGTCTGACAGTGTTGTGTATCGCCATGCAATGGAGAAAGATGGAAATGCATTGTGTGACGTGCCTGCCCTGTTGTTCAAGTCTGCCTGAACATGAAGAAAACATGTAAAACCATATCCCGACTTTCAGTCAACACAGTGAAGTCTAGATTTGATATCTTATCATGATACAGATGTCAATAATAAAAGGGGAGCTGGACCCTGTAATCATAGGGTACCCAGCAGTTCTGAGTCCTCCAACAGCTGTCAGTCAGTAGTGTGAGGGTATGTGTAGTGTGGGAGCACGTGGTTCATTGAGTTATTTGGTTGTGATCTACTTACTAGAAAGGAAATAACAAGTAATGAGGAAAGTAATAAATTAGTCACACAGACACATGAACATTAATGAGGAAGTCACAACAGAGATGATAATAAGATCCCAAAACACTTCAGCTGCTGATTGATGGTCCATTAAAGGAACTACTCAGATAGAGCCTTCAAGAATGTCAACCTGAACAACAGGGGGGAAACATAATTAACATGAGTATTACGGGATACTTGAGGCCATTTGGGATATAGGCTATCAGAAGAGGCTTGTGGACTTATGTAAAAATTACCGTGGAATGTTTAGGGGAAGGGCCAAAAGGTCCAAAGAAAAGGTGAAGGATCAGAGTGTGGGAAAATAGTGCCAGCAACTGGAGAGGCTGGCCTGCAAAAGAGATCTGTGTGCCACAGGTCTTAGGGTTTGTGAGTCTACGTACTAGCACATGGAGGGATTGTCGTGCAAGAGTCTGTGTGCCAGGAACTGGAAGGACTGTAGGCCATAGCACTTGCCTATAGGGCTTTTAAGTCTAAATACCAGCGACTAGAGGGACTGGGATGGGTGTCTTGTATATATGTTGAAAAGTCCAAGAGACAGCAAGTGGAGGAGAGGCCATGGGCACTGGGGCTGTAGGTCTGGGTGGCAGCAACTGGAGGAATCAAATTGTATGTGGGTGTGTAAGAAAGAGGTCTAAGTGCCAGCAACTGGAGAGACCTGGGTGTGTTTATATTTCTTCAGTGAATTTAATCCTCTGTGTGCATATGTATAATTCACTAGCAAACTTTAAGCTGGACTAGCTGGTGAGTTGGAGGAAACATTTCCACATCTGGAGGACTCCGTTTGAACAAGTGGTTGGGGGCTCAGGGTCCAGGCATGGATATTAGGCAGACTGAGAGCTTGTGGTAATATTCAAAGGATCTGTGACTGTAGGAGTGATGATGCGATGAGTGTGTGAGTGTATGCATCTGTTTCACCAGCAAGCATCACCTTACTCTATCTGACAAGTAGGAAGTGACCTGCATACCAGTTAAAGGACCCCAGGTCCAGGTGTGAATATTTAACAGGTTTAGAGGCTGTGCCAACATTCAAGGGGGCTGTGAATGTGGGTGTGCTTATGGATGTGAACAATGAGAGCACATATGTTTTCACCAGAGAACCTCCATTCTGATGAGCTGGACGGGAGGAAGAGGATGGGGCTGTCTGTACTTGTGGGAGTTTGGGTAGCATTATAAGTGGGTTGTGCTACCCGAGCTGCTCTGTGTGTGATAGACAGTCTGTGCCACATTAGGGACCTCTGCGTGTATGTGTGTGTGAAGGTGTCTCAGATACACACTCAACCTTGCTATGGGCCAGACCTGCAAGCAGGGACAGCAGCAGCTGTACCCCTGGGACTGGTATGGAGAGATCACCTGGGACCATTCCTGGTCAGTCACATCTGCTGGGAGGAGGGATCCTGGGTCTGATGGATTTGGTGCCTCCCTTGTTAAGGAAAGTTACCATTCAGAGGGATCTGGAGAACAGAGTAGGCATGGAAATAGGAGAAGTGCTGGAGGAAGCAAAGTGTACTTCCCTGAGGAGACTTTGCAGAGGAAGATGGCAGTCACCATGGGCACAGATCATCACTTTTACAGTGTTTTGGAGAGGGGCTGCAAGAGACAGGAGTGCCAGTAATAGAAATGTCAGGTCACACCAGATGGCTGGTAGACTGGTATGTGACTATGTTCACATTTAAAGGTCAGCAGCTACTTTGATTCCCTGGAATGGATGTTGATGATCATAACATTTGTCATGCAATTTACCCTAACTCTGGGCAAGAGCAGTTCAAATGTATGGAAATTTGATGCGGGAACCAGTCTTCCTCTGCACAGCACAAAGCAACAAATGTGTACGCTTCTGTACCGACATTACAAGTGTAGTTCTCCTCTGATTAATATTCTCTGAAATGTAGTTATATTTAAAACATTCATAGCTGGTTTTATTAGCTTTTGTTGGAACCCAAAGATTCATGAAAACAGCCAGACAAAATTAACAAAGATTTGTCAGAGCTAACAAACATTCTGGATAGGAAGATACCCTACTATAGCTGTCTTAAAATAACTTTCCTATTTTGACATGTCTTCATCAGCAGTTTTCATGCAAATAATCCTCCAAATGCGCTTTCAATTAAGATATGCACATAGATTTACATGGAGTTAAGAAGACACAAATGAGACTGTTCATAAATTCAACCCTGGCTAAAATACTTAACATTATAAACATTGAGTATTTTGTAATTTCAAATGTGAACTACTGGATTTGTGACTGCAAAGGTCATTTATATTTTTTGAAATCCAGATTACAAGAAATGGCACAAATACCACCAGAAGGGAGCTTAATACACAGAGCAATATATTAGAATACATTGTGCAAAATACAAATTCCATAGGGTATATCCTGAAATTGTAAACTTCCATTGAGAAAAAATTTTAAGCTCCTGCTTATTCATTTCAAACAAGAATCAGTGAAGGGCACAACTCAAAACTGAATCTCCTGCTCCGCAAGTATGAACGACTCACTTTTCAGTGGCGTGCAGATTCCATAGAGCCAAAAGAGGCTGAGGTTTTATTAATGTTATTAACTGACCAAAAAACACCCAAGCGGAAAATACCTTTTTTTCAATTTACAATGCAGAAAAACTACTCAGGAAGTTCACCATCAGATTCAATATTGTGCTTCACTGTCTATCACAAAAGTTATACCACTAACTCAAGTTCCTGAACAAATGCATTTTTCTTAAAAAGCTGTAGCACAACTGATTTACAGTGGTTGTATTTTTCTGTGAAGAAAGGAGGTAAGAGATTACATATGTGTTTTAGGAAATTAAGCATTTCAACTGGAATTTTCTTCTTTATGAGTAAATGCTTTACTTGGATTTGTAATTTCACTGGTTAAAGTTGCAGTGCCTCAGTAAAGGTCACCTCTTGTAAAAACAGCAATGAAGATTCACCAGCCCAGGTCCTATGGCTTTCCTCTGGAGTGACTTCCCTGCTTTATAAAGACTTTTCCTATATGGTTACTAGGACTGCATCTATTATTTTTAATGAAACAGCTTAATTTTAGAGGCATACATTTGGAACATTTACAGATAATATGGATATTCATCACAGATCTGATGCTGCATTGGCCAGTCCGAGAGCCATACATGGAGTTGCAGCCTGGATGTTTACTTTCCTAAAGCAGATTTATTTGCAAAAAGTTTTACTAAAAATCTTTAATGTAAGCTTCTCTGTGTGAAATCATTGAGATATTAATATGATAGTAAAACCCACCAGTGTTAAATCTGCACCAAGTTCCACTTTTCTTTCCTGTCTTTCTCACACTATGATGACTCAGGTTAAATTTTGCAACAAGGATCTGGCACATTCCATTCTATACAGAGCAGGACTGGTGTAAAAAGCCCATTTTTGGGTTCCCATAATGTGTGGAACAAGAGCTTGAGCCGTGGACATTGACTCCTCGAGTCAACTACTCTGTCTTGCTTCTCATTCATGTGCAGGTCTCTGCTGGTACCCAGTGGCTGCCCCCCCTAGCAAAGACCCAGGCTTAGGTGAATGTTGTCTTCTCTGCTCCTCCTTTTCTGGGCTCTGGACTAGCTGTACAGCTGGACTCAGCAGAGTATGTGCACATTGTATTTAGAACTGTGTGCATGACTCATTCCCCACTGCTGAGTCTATCAGGAGTCACAGCATGGACTTAAAAATAGAATAAAATAATCCCAATATTCAAGTCAGTGGCTCAGGTTTGGAGTAAAAAAAAAAAAAAAAAAAAAAAGTAGGCTTTTGTTCTAGCTAGTTATCAGTCTTTCTTCAAGAATCTCAGTATTGCAGAAAATCTTTTAGGCATGCCACCTAATATCTATGCTAAACAGTATACACAGCTTCCTATTCCTGGTATAGGCAAACTAGACCAATTTCATTGCTATTTGCATCACACGGATCAGCTTGCTCAGTCTGGCTTTTGCACAAGTAGCAAATAACTGAATCATAATGTCTAATAGTCTGGCTGGCACTGCATTGTCTAAATGCAAAAGAGGGACTGATCCTAGACACTACCTCTCTTATTTCAGCTAAGCATGTCAGGTGTCTCGAACCACCCGCGCCACGCAGACACGGTTCCAGGGTGCAGGGCAGGAGTCATGAGTTGTCATTTTTTCAGGTGCAGATCAGAACAGAGAAGTGGTATTTCTCAATTTTTATTTTTATTTCCCCCACAGCTCTCCTTTTCCACTGTTGTTAGAGCTCAGGGGCTTTTGCTAAGACACAGATGCCACTTGTCAATTAAAGTACCTTTGATTCTCATAAATAGGATCTTAATTCTCCTGTCTACTTGGACTGCATTTTCAAGCTATCTATCTTCAGTGCCAATAGTACAGAGAGTCATGTCTCAAAAGCAGATAACCATCAAATAAATTGCCTTTTTCTGAATGGTCAATTGCTGTTTCTCAATCTAGAGCTGTTGCTTAGAGACTTTTGTAGTATTTGATGCAGTAATGGCAAAATACC